TTTAGTATCTTGCCTGAGGATCTTCAGACTGGAGCAGCCAGGGATTGAACCCCCAGCCTTCCAATCATTGGTTTGTATGAATTACTCCGGGGCGGTTGTAGAGGAGGTGAGCCACAACCACCGTCAGGCAACAAATCACAAAGAACTGCGTTTTTGTGTTTCTTTGTCTGTGCTCATGCATGGTTTATGTGCAATAGCATGCATGTGTGATTGCATGGGTTTCTATGTGTCTGAATGTTTCTCATTACACTGTGTGGAACTTTAGAAAAAAAAGGTGGATATCACATTTCTGTCATTTGACATTTGGAGTACCATTACATCTTTGTATCTTACATGTCTTCTCCAAGCTCTTGAATCAGGTGTTTTGAAATGGGGAAACACCTACAAACCTAAAACAAGACATCCTAAGGAAATTTAGAACCATTCCTTTACCATTATTGCATGAAGAAAAGTGACCTAACTGGCAACATTGTGCAGTTAGGTCAATAAATGAAATCAGAATCTGTCTATAAACAACTAAAAAGAGCAACTTATTCACATTGATGTAAAAGATGATGTAGAAAGTATTCGACTTGCGTGTGTGTGAGTGTGCGTTAATTTGATCATCACTCAACTCTTGACATCAGTGTAATATCATTTTTTTTATTTTTAATTTGAAAAATAACTTACATAAATCTCTGTACTCAACCATACTTAACCAAGACATAGCCTTGGCATTAACACATTGCACCAAAAAGAGAAAATGAAAAGGCATTCAAAAGGATAAATAACATGTCTTTGTCATCATGAGGCATTTTTCCTCTTCCAAAAGAATCTATCAGTCTATTTGTGGTAGCTTGTTTACTCAAATTCGGACATCTAAAGGTATGTACAATGAAAAATGAAAATATATACTGTAGCTTGTTAAAGCGACAAGGTTTTTCTCTGACATTAAAATGCATTATCTTCACGTGGAAAAGGAACAATGCCTCAATTCAGTTTCATTCAGACATACTGCAACTATAAGATTCATGTACTTCCCAGACACGAGAAGTATTGTTAATTACTAAAAATAGAAAATAAAAAATAAACTGGTCTTGGCTTTTAAATAAAACTAACAAAAATATAGTAAAGTAATTTCATTTTCATTAAAACAAGAAAAAAAAAATTCTGTGGCAATATCCCTTATTGTTTCAACTTGTGATTAGCTCATCTTCACAAACAGTGATGTAAAATTGAACCATGGCAACACGCATGTCGCGCATGTTTGCCGTCTCTTGATTCGGTATAGACCTCTTTGCTGTACCAGTACAGATTATTTTTGCATGTTCGTCAACAATACTGAAATAAAATACACTTGCAATCACAACTGTTTCGCCAGCATCCATTAAATATAAAATATTTTCCTTGTCATATTTTTTTTTCTTCTTTTTTTTCCTCAAAAACCTGAAAGAAAATGTGACTTTCGGGTGGGGTGGAATGTTCTGTTAAAACTTCAATAAATGGCCCAGGAAGACCAAGAACTAATTTGCCATAGAGCTCAATTTAAGGTGAGGGAGAAAAGTAATGAAGTTGACATGCACTGTACAAGAAATTGCAAAAATTCCAAATATCATCTTTATCAAAACATGCTGAGTTACTGTAAGGTGTGCCCAAGCCATGTTGCAAAAGACCCTTTTCAACATGCTTGTTAAACAAATCCAAATCCAAAAGAAGGAAGAAAACAAACATAGTGAAACGATACAGTACTGTAAAGTAACCAACAGTCCTAAAATCTGGACGATGTCAGGGGACTGAACAATGGTAGCAATGAATAGTACGATGAGAAGTACCCTGGGAAAGGAAGAAAAAGAGAAACATGTACAATTTGCACATTATGTTTATCTTTATAAGGCATTAATGCCTTTTACAATGAAATAGATCATTTACATTTATTTTCATTATCACTTTTTGTCACATAAACATTTTCTGTTAAATAATTCTTAAGTTCCCCTTTTCTGCATGTCTGCAAAATGCAGATTCATGAATGGTCTAAAGAATGATAAACAATGTCTTTTTTTTCAGTCACGATGTTGCATTCACTCCCCTTGAAAACCATGCACTAGTGAAAATTTTCTTTAAAAATAATATAAATTGTTGAAAATGGCTGATTCTGTTTATTTTTCATCTTTTTTTTTTGCAAGTTACAGCCTCAAGAAAATAATTTTCTTCTTTCTTTTTTTATTCAGCTAAATTTGTGTCCATGCAAAGAAACTAAAGAAAGGGAAAAGAAAAATCTCATTTAATTTTCATACAATATATCAACAGAGAAAGAAATATGGTAAGATTGTACATCTTTTCATGGAGTTTGGATTGTTACTGTATTTATTTATTTTTTGGGGGAAGGGGGTGTTGAGGGCAGCCACTTTAAAGTGGCATTTGATTTATCTTTTACGATGCTTTACCAATATGGGTTGAACGGGTAGATATATGTAGAGTATGCGGGGTTTTTCTTTTTGGGGTCTGTGGGAGTGTGGTTACAAGCTGGGACACACCTCACCCAAAGTGATGGTCTCAAAAATTCCATCTACACGGCTAGGTCTGTTGGCGTGGCGTGACCAAGCATCTGGTTAGAAACACTGTCACCCCCTTCAGAGACAAGTACACTGACATTTAAAGAAAAAAGTAAATAAAAGAAATGAAAACGACACAGGAAAAAAAAATAAAATCAAGCAACACACAGATTTTTCATTCGAAAAGGGCTTCTGTAGAACTCATTCAGAGGTTCCCAGTGTTGACCCCCATGGCTTCGAATTGGATGAAAACCTGGAATTGACGGATTCCTCGTGCTAAGGAGTTCATTCCGGCTTCCTCCAAACAACAATAACAACACCTGGCAATCCCTGCTACCAGGCGCTCGCGATACGCTTCGCCACATGCACAGTGTGCGTGACGTTTTTGCTCAAAACACAGGATCACGTTTGCACCCCTAGAAACAGGCTCAGAAGACACAACATCAAGCATGCAGTGTAACCGGGGGGGCGTGACCTGTAATCGCAACACTGGCTGCTACAACAACGCTATCAGTCCACACGCTGCTATGATCGAGAGAAACTGTCCAGTGAGGATTGGGAAGCTCTTCTTGTCAGTGGGGCCAGAGTAGGGTCCACCAGTGAGGAAGGAGGAAAGAGCTTGTACCAGCCAATCACCATGTTGGACAGGTCCAGCTCATCTAACAGTATCTGAACTGCTCCCATGAATGATTTATGGTCCATACGTCCATAGTCACCCCATACGATGACCTGCAAAGAAGAACGAAAAAAAACTTTAAAGGATGGATCAAGTTTAGAAAGACAAATGAAGTCAACAGTCTTGATCACAACAATCCAAATCACAACAACAATTGCCTCAAGGTGCTTTACAATAATACCCTACAATAATACAGAGAAAACCCCAACAATCAGATGAACCCCAACACAACTTATATAGCTCATTATATGAAAAAGCCAATCTGATGTGCAGAACCATATCAGTTGTGTGTCCTTGCATTGAGGCCAGCAGACTGCAAGGAGAAATGCTAATTGTGACACTTTGTTGCAGTCTAAAGGAATAACTTTCTTACCTGTAAAACCTTCCCTCCTGGACTCTCCTCAAACGGCAGTTGCTGCTGATAAAGAGGGTCCAAGGTTTTTCTTGCTACTTTAGTTTTCTTTTTGGCTATGCAGACTCCGTTTTCCAAAAGGTAGACCTTTACATACGGTGCTGGAAATCAAGAAAGCATAAACGAGAGATGAGCTTTTGAAAGGTTTCCTTTTCTCTTTCCGCAACCAAGTCATGCTTACCTTTATTTACTCTGTGAATACCTGACATAGACTAGCACATTTAGTAGCTTTGATTACCTGGCAGTGCCTTGGAACCTGGTTTTCCCACAAGGCCACGGGCTCTGATGACCTCCACCTCCAGTGCACCTTTCTTCTCCACCATGCCAATCTGGATGTCTCCTAAACAACCAACAAAACCGAAGATTTTAACTTGTCTGAAGTGAAGCTTTCATCATTTCAAGCTACAAATCTCTGTAAAAAAAAAAAAAAAAGGGGG